GCCTCCGTGACTGATTCTAGCTCGAGCGTACCATACCACGCCGCAGTTTTCTCCAGCCCCGCGTGCCCGGGCTGCTGGCCACAGCCTGTGTGCACAAAGACGGGCCCGGCTCGCCCCCGAGATCGGGAGCTGGCCCGCACAGGTAGGACCTTTGAGGTTTCTTCTTTACTCCCTTCCGTACTGAACATTGTGGTCCTGTTAAGGAAAATGAATGTGAATTAAACCTCTCCCCGTCTGTCTTCCCCCTTCCATTATGCTTTAACAGCTTGGACAACAATTAGTTACCCTTTAACAGTTCTAGTCTTGTACATTGCTCAGAACAAACTCCTTGGAAACTCTCCTTTGGCCAGGTCTAGGGTAGCAAATTTTTACAAAAGAAATCACAGCATTGCCAAATGTCAGTAAAACATTCCATAGGAAAAGGCTCGGCAGTGCTGTGTTGTAACCATCTTGCTTGACCTCAACAACTGTGTGCATTACATTTCCAGGTGGCAGCAGTGCACAGAGAGAGCTACAGCTGGAGCTCAGCTGTTCTTTCATGGTTGGCATATACATTACACTTTTAGGACCCTCTTCTCTTTCTGCTGACTGGCGTCACCATTGTGATGAACTGGGGATAAAGTAAAGCTAAGATAACTTCATTATGAGACAATCATCCTTTTAGGATTTGGTCAAGCCAATCATGGATGCAATCTTCATGCCACTGCTGCAGTTGATAGGACTTAATCCAGCCATTTTAAATTGTGTAATCTCAACTGGAATATAGCTGCCCTGAGAGTTGCCATGTAGGATTTGTGGGTTAATGCCTGGGGACAGAAGATGTATCAAAACTCATGCTGGATGAACACCAGCAGTTCCTTTCACTTTGACTACTGGAATAAGTTTGTACCTGGGTATGCACAAGTCCATGGAAGTGCATGCTGTGGTAATAGGATGTGCATATAAAGGTACATGTGGGTGTGAATACATGTCTAGGCATATCGTTAGTAGGAAGACTGGAAATTTTAAAACTGTGTCTTGACTCTTAACAGTATTTTACTGCTTATCCTTCCAGCTTGTTAAACACCTTTTGTTTCTCCTGTAGGTGGCTTTTTAATTCCTTATCTCATCATGTTAATTGTGGAAGGGATGCCTTTGTTATTCCTGGAGCTGTCAGTAGGACAGCACATGCGTCAAGGGAGCATTGGTGCATGGAAAACAATAAGTCCCTACCTCAGTGGAGTCGGTAGGTTTTTTTTCATGCCAAGACACAGGGCTATTTTTAACTCCCAGCTGAACACTGGTGATTCTGATAAATTTTTGGAGCAGAAAAGTTGGTATTTATGAGAGTATTAGAGGGCATGTGTAGTATGCATTGACCAGGAAAAGGAGATGAGATTTTTGACTCAAAGAGATGGATATTTGTTTTTTTTCCACCAGGGAACTGGGTTGTTAAAGTACCTGCAACGAACTTTAGTATTGTTTAGAGTATAGGTCATGACCATTAGAATTTTTGGCCCACAAATAACACCTAGAGGTATTGAAAACCTAAGAATAATTTGCAAATATTAAATAATTAAGTTTCAAAACTCTCCTGCAAAGAAGATAGATATTGCTAACCAGGGTTTCTAAATGGTACCTTAATGCATATTACTTGTCTGGTGTTTCATAGCGGGTCATGGCAGGACTAGAACCAAGGGCATGGTCTTCCAGAAAGAGCAGTCACAGAGCAATCTACAAGGAACTGACAGTGGCCATCAAATCTGAAAGAGTATCTTGTTTCCTGTTGCATTTTGTTCCTGTCAGAATACAACTTTACAACCACCTCCTTCCGTGTCACTGTCGCAGGTTGTAAGATGGTGATGCATAGCAAAGCTGCAAATGACTTCTCCCAGCCTCTATACCACCTTCTGTCTGAGGGTCAGAAGTACATTACAATCATTAATGACTTAATGCCAGAGAGGGATTGTCTCCATTTTACAGAGGGAAGCTCAGAGGGTCAGATGCTATTCCTTATCCCAGCCAGCTAGAGTTCCTGAAAAACTGCTATTGCAAAAGATGGGTGGATCCTTCTCCTCTTCTTTCCTGTCTTTTGTGACTTGCACTGAAGCCTAAGATGACAATGTGTTGCAGAAGCTGATCTACTATCTCAGGGACTTGAGAATGGAGCAAGATAACATTAAGGTGCCTAAAGAAATGCCACTTAGAAACCCATCAGGCGGAATAAGATCTAGTCCAGAATGCTTCTGGCCGAGGCAAGAATATAATCCAGATTTCTGAATGTGCACTTTAACCCCACTGTCAGCAACCGGTCTAGTTCAACCTCAAATTTTACATATCAATAAAACAAGGCAGTAGTTTACTACTGTCATTACCCAATAACTGGCAATAAAATGGAACTACATAAAAATAGCTTAAATTACCTTATAGGTCTAATTATCTCCAATTAATTTAAAGTACTGGACTCTCTTTAGTGGGACTTGCCAATTTCTAAAAAAACGCTTTGATTTTTCATCATGAGGCACAAGTTGAAAACCAGCACTTTTATTTCCTTGAAAGAAGCAACTTAAATGACATGAATGCTTCATGTGCAGTAAAACAATGAATAAGCAAATGCATGTGAGGAGGAAAGAGATGGCTGTCTTCCCAGAGATCACATAAAGTCACTTGGCACTGCCGTATCAGCCGACTTCTTGTAGTGGATTTGGATGTAGGAGGAAGAGCTTTTCCTTCTGCTTGATACCTCTTAGAAGTCTGTGCAGTACAGAACTGTACAACAGATGGTAACCCAGGGTCTCAACAACTACCAGTCTTACAAATAGTGTAGCTATGACATGTATTCTGGGGTAGGAAATATCCCAGGTCCTGTACCTGTACTACCAGATTCCCACTGAAGTCTCAGTTGCATTTCCTTTGAGTTGGAGCCCCCAAACTGCTACCAGTAGTGAAGCCCATTCTAGAGTAAGCCAAGTTTCCCTCCCTTTCTAAAACTGTGTTAGCAATACTAGGAGCCCTCATGTAGGTAGGCTGATAGTTGCTTTTGGTATTTGTAAAATCATGACCATTAAGCCTTCCATGAATAAGGTTTCACAACAGTGTATTACCAATGCATATTACCAATGTATATTACTAATAGTGAAAATGATGTATGATCTGATTTTAAAAGAAGCTGAGTGTATGTCTTAATTAGAGAAATAATAGTGAAGTTATATAGTGGGCTAAGGACTGTCAGATAATTACTTTCAAACTAATCATAGAAAATGGCAGCCAGAAGCTCTCCTGGCTTAGAGCTCCAAACATTGCTAAAACAAGTACAACTTAAAACAAGTATAACTTTGACATTAGCAAAGATTGAAAGATTTTGAGAAAATTTCCTACTTTACAGAGAGTACAGGACTTTTCAGGATTGGCTTGAATGGCATTCCTTCCACTCCCATAACACTGGTAACTGTTTCATGGAATAAATAGTGTTCCAAGTGAAAAAAGAGGAATAGAATGAGCGCAGACATTATTAACCCTTTGCTCCATTTCAGCTAGGTGTCTAGGCTGGCACATTTTTGTCCTCTTGTAATTAAAACACTACTTTTTTTTGCAGTGCAAACATCTAACCGTGGCTTAATATGGTCTCTTTTCCCTGAGGCATTGCCACTTTCTCTAGCTTTGAATTAGATTCTGTCTAGATGGGCTACTGGGCTTTCAGACTACCAAAAGTCTGCCATTTCCCTTTTACTGACACTTTATATTATGCTTAACTTCTGAAGACAATGGTCCTCTGGGAGAGAGCTGAGATGACCAAAGAAGTGAGTCCTTCTTAAGTTCTGCAGGCCGGTGTTTGGACAGTTTGCCATTTCAATGACTTTGCCATTTCTCATTCTCAGGTGTTGCCAGTGTGGTGGTATCATTTTTCCTCTCCATGTACTATAATGTTATAAATGCCTGGGCCTTCTGGTACCTGTTCCATTCATTCCAGGTGGGTAGAGTACTCTGATGATAGGTCAATGTATAACAAAGCACATTTTCCTTCCAAAGTGGGCAAACCCAATGTGCTTGAAATTGAGAGACCACGTTAGCTTGCTGGGCATCAGGGGAGAATTTGCAGTGGGCAAACAGGAGTTTAAATACTGACGACATAAATGGGCCCATCAAAGAAATACCAGTGCAGTGAACCAAGAATCAGCATTATTGAATGATCCCATTTAAAGGATATTTGTTTGAGTCGCCCACAGACATAGGGACCTCTGTATCTAGTCAGGCAGCCATCTGTTATCTTCAGAAGCCTTGACTGGTTAATGATTGTTAGAAGCCAAACCCTTTAAACTAACCATATTTTCAAAGGAGGATATTGTTTTGTGAGACCTTTGTTTAACATCGTTGTCAACAACAGGCAAATAAAAAATTTCCATCATGAGTTATATAGCTTCTCTCAGCATTAATTTTAAGAAGTTGTTTCATTGCCAGAGTTTCTTAATAAATCCTTATAACCTGATGACTCTAAACTTAGACATCAGCTTGCCAGCTATTTTTTTCCACAGGCCATTGGCACTGAGAGATCATTCATGTCAAAGCCCACTTTGTTTCTGAAATGCCTCATAGTGCCACAAGAAAAATATAAGATCATTATTGTATAGGGGCAGAAACTAGCTCAGAAAAAAGGTTTGTTTTAGCTAGACTGACAGACATTAACATTAATGGGGATTTCCACAGAATGGGTCCAGTCCTTTAGTCCTTGCTCCCATGACTTAGTCCATTGCTGGTATGACTTGATTGAAAGAACAGAAAAGAAAGAGCACAATCACAGCATGCAGTTAGCTTCTTCCTATTCAGGGGTCAGCAATGTTTTAGGCAGAGTGCCAAAAACACCTGCAAGCTCAGCTTGTAAGATGTTGGTGTGCTAGGAGCAGATAACAGGGGAGCTGCGAGGGACCCAATCCTTGTTGTGGCAGTGCAGCCCTGGCCTCTTCCCTGCCGTCCACCCCAAGGTGCCTGTGTCAAGCAAAATGCCTTTGCGTGCCACACTCTGGCACCCGTGCCGGGGGTTGCCTACCCCTTAGATGTTAAGAGGTCAGTGGCAATCCCCATGGGGGAGGAGGAGCTGCAGGATCTGTCCCAAGACCCCTTACACCAGCAGCCCAACAAGCCCCTGTCACTGTCATACTGTCACTTTCCCTGATGTTTTTTCTGTTCCCTAAGCCCTCATTGGAGCCTTATACTATGCCCTGCATTGAATGTTTGCATTTGTTTTACTCCCAAAGAATCCCTTGCCATGGGCTGCTTGTCCACTGAACAGCAATCACACTGGTTACATTGAAGAATGTGAGAAGGCATCATCTACTCAGTATTTCTGGTACAGGAAAACCCTAAACATTTCACCATCCATTGAGGAGAATGGGAGTATCCAGTGGGAGCAAGCCATGTGCCTGATCCTGGCTTGGCTGACAGTCTATCTATGTATTCTAAGAGGAACAGAGTCTACAGGCAAGGTAAGAGGATGATAATTGTTGTTTCAGAGTTACATTTGATTTCTTCAAGTCCTAATGATGGTTTAACTCAGGGTGGCCAACTTGTGACATGAGTGCCACAAGCAGTACAGGCAGCCTTTGTATGTGGCACACACTAGATCAGAGAGGGGCCAGGCAGCAAGGCAGCATATGTGGCAAGAAGCAGAAAGCAGAGCAGCAGATTGGCTAGGGAGCACAGGGCAGGGAGTAGAAAGAGTAGCTAGTACGGCAGAGGAAGGGGATAGGAGTGGCACTCAGAGAGTGTGGGGCTAATTTACCCCTGCTTGAAAGGCTGACCCCCACTGGTTTAACTGATGTTAACTGGAACTGTCCCGTTCCCCCTCGCCAGAAACAACCTCCAACAGGCTTTTTACACTTGGCTAGTTTTATTTCCTCTTAACCAAGGGAACACAGTGTGACCACTGTGTGTGGATACAGGGTCATCTAATATGAAGAACTATGGCTACAGGATCATACTGTGTGTTCATTGGCATATAAAGGCATTGGTCATAGCTGTAAAGCATCAAATGGCTTGAAAATAAAGAGAATGCTGCTTGTGGCATCTCTGTGGTCACCTTATGGTTCTAAGAGTGATCTATGTAATGTATCTATGCATTGTTCCCAAAGTACAGTGAACAAATATATTGCATATATATGACATGGGACTATTAGACTGCATAACACAGAGCACTACCACTTGCACAAAAGGGAAATTCCTTTTAGCTACAGTAGCATCAGCACACAGTCAGTTATACAGGAAGTGGCATAAAAGGTGAACATCTCTCCAGTGTATTGGCCACTTTACTCATTTTCCTCTTAGACAACGCGCTTTGTTTCTGTTTTCAACTCTGTGTTCCAGGGTGTAGGATAGTCAATGACTCTGTTTGGTTATGGAATCAGATATGATAAGATCAGAAAGAGACAGGGTAAATGACAGAGCAATGCCACAGAAAACAGATCAGTTGTTTGCTATTAAAAATAAATACCCACGTGGCGCTGATGTTGACTATCAAACGTTTGTGGTACTGCTACACAGAAGCTGTCTTTGACTAGTTCAGAGAAGGCTCTTGTTCTATGACTCAAAGAGAAAGCAGTTTGTTCTGTATGTGGTAGCAACATGCAGACTTTATGAGCAAGAGAAAACAGCACTTTCACTTTGCAGCTGGCTTTTCCATTAAACTCTTGAATGCCATGCTCACAGAAACTGGCAGCAAGTTTAAAACTACAAACAGGAAGTACTTTTTCAACCTAGATACAGTTATTCTGTAGAATTAATTGCTACACGATAACATTGACAAACCTTAGCAGGATTGTAAGAGAGACTGGACATCTACAAGATCATGAACATTCAGAGGAGCTATAATAGTAAGAATTAAAATAAAATGCTTTCAAAGGGGCTTGACATATTTCAGGCCGTAAGGTGGACCAACTCGGTGGTTTTCCACCTCATTAGATTTAAGGCACCCCTCAGAAAACATCAGCTCTTAGGTTTCATTCATTTTTTGACTATGGAAAAATAACGAAGCAATTCTGCTGTTATAAAGAACTCAGAAACACCACAATAAGTCAAGATGTTTGTGACACTATGGATTCCTATTTGAAATCTCCTGGTTTATGTTGTGAATCGTGTGTACTGTGTAGGTAAGTGTTTGCACACCTAACAGTGCTAATATTATGTGACACTCCCTGGCACCCCTAAAGGGATCTCACAGCACCCTAGGGTGCCATGCCTCCCTGGTTGAGAATCACTGCTCTAACTAATAGAGGAGAGGTAAGGAAAAAGCTTTCCTTGGGGGTTATGTTGATTATGACTTCTTATGGCACCTTCCTCTGAAGTAACTGGTCCTGGCACCATCTAATGCAATGTGGCAGTTCTGATGCTGCACACGGGAGAATAATCCAGGGCCCTTTGGAATGACACTGCGATGATGGATTTCCAAAGGAGAACTCGGAGGTGCGTCAACTTACAGCCACGGGGCTGCACAGCACATGGGAAAGAAACATGTCTGATGTTAATCTGCAGTCCAAACTCTTGGTAGAGGTGATATCTTGTATTAAACCAACTAGACAGTTGCAAAAAAAAAATCTTTATTTACAAGCTTTCAGGCACACATGCCCTTCTTTAGGCACAGGAGAGTGCAAAGATTGTAAAATTTCTCCCATGAAAATTCATATTTCTCAGGAAAGCTGAAAGGTAGTATAAGATCTCCTTGCTAGAAAATTTAATTTTATGCAAATTAAGCTCAGGTAAAAGTTGGAGCCATCTGTATACCTCGAAAGTGTCTGATGGCAAGCAGAACGTTGAATTATGCTTCTCTCTTGTTATGACGTTTCATATTTCGCAGGAGGTTTGGTGATGGAAGGCTCCCCTGGGCAAGGAATTTCTCTTGTGTTAAAGCTGCTCTGTGAGCAAGCAAATTTGGCTTGAAACAAAAGGCTGCAGCAGGGGTGTTGGCTTTCAGGTTTCAAGGTGTCAAATTTTGCCTCCTTTTTCTAAATTATGAAGTTTCATTTCAAAATGGCTAATTTTGTTATCTCCCATGTTTCAGGGATACAGGCTGTAGCCGTGTTAGTCTACAGGCAAAAGCAATCAGAACTCTTGGTAGAAGTGCTATCTTTTGGTGAAGGTGTTAATCTGTGAATTTAGAAAAAGATATCGGACCTTTCCCCCTCATTTAAAATGAGACAACATCAAAAGTTCTGAACCTGTTTTTAGAAGAAAGACTACGTTTATGTTTGGCAAACCACATTTGAAAAGCACATAGGCACCCAGCAGACTAAAATACAGCCAGCCTATTAAGCTTGTTGAAGTTGGCACATTGTGGAAGACATTAAGTACACAGCCTACTCTGTCAATTTTTTGTGATTGTGAAAATGATATATTATCTGAATTTAAAAGAAGCTGAGTGTATGTCTTAATTAAAGAAATAATAGTGAAATTATATAGTGGGCTAAGGACTATCAGATAACTAATTTAAAGCTAATCATAGAAAATTAGAGTTGGAAGGGACTTCAGGAAGTCTAGTCCAACCCCCTGCTCAAAGCAGGAGCATCCCCAACTATATAATCCCAGCCAAGGCTTTGTTTCACTGGATCCTAAAAACCTCCAAGGATGGAGATTCCACAACTTCTCTGGGTAGCTTTTTCCAGTGTTTTACTACCCACCTAGTGATAGTAGATGTTTTTCCTAATATCTAACCAAATGTAATTATTTTATAGTACAATAAATGTCTACTGGAAAAGCTACTAGTGAAGGGGAGAGACCAAGGCACACTGACAAAAAGCAGGACAGACCTAAATGCCTGACTCCTGGTTAACTGACATGCTCAGTTAATGGAAGGCCAGCTACATCCCAGCATAGCATTGAGAAGTCCACAGTCGCTTATCAGAAATAAAAAAGCTTCTAAAGGTTTCAGATATCTTTGAAATTGAGGCTTTTATCAAATGCTACAATATGGAGAGTCAAGGAATAAATATAAACTATTGGGAGTTTTGCCACTGATTTTAAATGGGAACAGGAGTGAAGACACACAGGGTCTGACTCCCAAGAGGTGTGTAAGGTTGCACAATTCCTGTTCATGTCAACTGCAGTGGAAGGTGCTCTGTAATAACTCTCAGTCTGTAAGCTCAATTCCTGGTTTGGAGCTATACTGAGTTTGAGAAACAGAAAGCTAACAGACAAAATGTAGAATCGTTCTTTGTGCTGATGAATGTGGACTGGGAAGGTCCCATTTGATCTCAATAGTGCAACTCGTGAGAGTGGGTACTTACCAGGATAAAGAAGGGCTGTACAATCTGGCTCTAAGGCATGAATTAACTTTCCTTGCAGCCATCCAAATTTCCAATGAATCAGTACCCCAGACCCTACAGGTATGGGCAAAGAAAGGTTCACTCCCAACCTGGACTATTAAGTATGACTGACATTATAGAGACAGCTATAGGCTTCAAGCAAATTGGGGCTTCATTGTGGTAGGCTCAGTACAAACACAAAGGGACAGTCCATGCTCCAGAGTGTAATGTGTCACTTCCAGGAGCTTTCACTCTGTAAACTTCCTCAGATCTTAAAAGATATCAAATTCACCCAAGGAACCTTGCTCAGATCTTTAGGACACGTACAGACATTCCCAGGACCCAATCTACGGTCATGTGACTTACTTTAAGTCATGTAATTATAGATCAGGTCCCACTTGTGCACAGGCTCATTGGTGCCAGGAGATGTGCCAGGAATGTGATGTAAATTGGGGCGGGGAAGGGAGCTAGTGTGTCATACAGGGGGTTGTTGGGACTGCAGAAGCGGTTGTCTGTGTAGGGCTGGGTAGGCCAGAGGGCTGAAAATGGCCTGGACAAAGTGGGAGGCGGGGGAGGAAGGGTAGAAAAAGCAGTCCCAGGGCTGGGGCGAACAGCTGGACTTTCCTGGCCCCAGGGCTGCGCTCCAGAAGTGTACACATGTTTGATTAGATCGCTCATGGGTTAGCCTGATCTTTGTAGAGCACTTCCTCAAGTGAACTAAGTTAGACTGAGCTATCTTATTTTTTCTACAGTAGGGTTTATATATCAATTTTGGAATAACCATGTGAATAAATCCAAAGACAAATCAATTAGATCATCTTTTTTGGTTTGTTTGCATTTAAAGTATGTTAGCATTAGGTTAAAAGACACAGCTTGACTCATGGCCTATTAAAAGGTAACAGAAAGGATATACAGGCAGTCCTCGGACACACATGGTTCCTGAAACCACATCTTAAGTCGAAACGTTGTAACTCAGAACCAATTTTTCCATAGGAAACAATGTTATAAATGGGGGATTGGTTCCTGAACCAAGGCCCGATACCCTATTTTCACCAAAAATAACCCAGAATTTTGTACTCAATCAATTATAGATGAGTAATTGATATAGCTACATTAATGTATTTATACTGTAAATAGCAATCATATTGATTTGGAAGGACTTCTTTGAAGTTACTTTGCTGGACTTTTTGAAGGGTTCTTGGCTGGAGTCTTCTCAGGAGTCTTGGCTGCAGGTTTTTCTGGGGTGTTGTCTGCTTTCTTAAAGAAGGTGTCCAAAGAAGTTTGGACAGATGTTCTCTAAGGAGATGGGCAATGCAGCGAACTTGTTCGCTGGCATGGTGTGGCATCAGATTAGGTGTTGTAAAGTTGAAACTGAAGTCAAAATTGAAACAGGGTGTCAGTTTATAAACACTGTAAATGTGAAACGTTGTAACACAAAGTTGTAAGTTGAGGACTGCCCGTAAAAAAGATTTCCTTGCCTCAGTTAGAAATAAGCTATCAATACGAGCTTGGAAAAATTTAATTTGCTTTTTACTGAAGCAGTATTTGTTTTATATTTGTCAGATTTCTCTCAGAACAGGCAGTGAAACTTGATTAATTTCAGTTTTGTTTAGTTAGTCTAGAAAAAGTTTAGGTTGCAAATACTGCAGGAAAAAGTTTGCTACTTTTGTTGTTTTAAACTGTTGTTTTAAACTCCTGTATAATTACAAAAATTAAAATTGTGAAAATAATACCAAGGATCTTAAATAAAAGCTCATTTTTTGTGAAGCCACATTTGACCTGAAAGCACTCATTTAGATATAAGATAGCAAATAGGCCTTTACTACTGTTTTATACAGGAAAAAAGAACAAAACCCCAAAAAGCATATATAATAAAATGGCCAGATTAGGCCATATTCCCATGGTCAAGTTATGGTCTGATACTGTAATATCTAGTGCTGAAATGCTATTCCAGAATGGAAATTTCTTCCTGACCCCTGCTCCTAAACCTTTTAAGCCCTGGAGGATGAGGATTGATATAGTCTCATGCAATTTAACTTTGTCTGTAGCTACATTAGTAATATTTTCAGTTTTACAAGAAATGGTCCTTGCAGAGAGAGAGCCATGTATCTCAGCTTTCTAATTAATTTACCTTTTTTTTTTTCCAGGTTGTTTACCTAACAGCTTCTTTGCCATACCTTGTCCTCATCATCTACTTAATTAAAGCGCTAACACTACATGGAGCTGTGAATGGGCTGGTTTATATGTTTACACCAAAGGTACAAAAATATACATCGAAATCTTAACAAAATTCAGTGGTTATATCTGCATTGTTTCTTCTATAACTTTTTTCTTTTCCATAACATCTTCATAATAGTAATTTGGGGCTCACACTACATGCATCTAAACCAGTGGTTCTTGACCTTTTTAGACTCAAGGCACCTCTCAGAAAATGCTGTCTCTTAACTTTCACTTGTGTTTTTCCTATGGGAAAAAAAAGAACAATTCTTCTGTTGCAAAAAATAATCAAAAAGACCACAACAATTCAAAATGTTGTTGACTATGATTTCCTATTTGAAATATCTGGGTTTATCTTGTGAATTGTGTAGGTATTTACACCCCTAACAGTGCTAATATTTTGCATCACCTTGGTTGAGAATCACTAACCTAGACTCCTGAGAATACACCAGTGGAACACAATCACTCTTGTGTTTTTAGTTTCTTCAGAGAAAGAAGCATCATACCTAAGGTGTGTTATATTCATAAAGTGGGTAGTACCACTGAACAAAATTAATTCCTGAATTCAACAGAGTTATGTAACAAATGAATATGGCCTAATCTCCTGCCACATAGGGCATATGTTTCAACATAATCCTTTGGTTTATAAAAAAGATTATATTTCACCCCAAGATCTCAAACACTCTTGAACATTTTATAGGCCAAATTCTATCTGCTAGTGTAGATAGGCATGCTTCCATTTAAAATCAGGTATTTTAACCCATCTGCTTCAACAAAGAATTGGCCTTACATAAAAATAACCCATTTTATTTATCCTTGAAACATTCAACTTTCAAGATGCCTCCATACACGTAACCAAATTCCTCCATACTTCAACAGGTTAAACTTACATTAATTTTAAGAAAAGCTGCAAGAATAAATGGTGGAAAGCAAAATCAGGTACATAAGCCAGATTCTTCCCTACTTGATGCTTAGATTTACTCCTTGCCATAGAAATTACAGTGAGAGAGCATTAGATGGACCACAAATGAGCACAAGGCCACTTCTGTGTTAATCAGACAGTTCTCACTCTTTTGTTTTGCAGTTAGAGCAACTAGCAAACCCAAAAGCCTGGATTAATGCAGCTACTCAGATTTTTTTCTCACTTGGTCTTGGTTTTGGAAGCCTGATAGCTTTCGCCAGCTACAATGAGCCAAACAACAATTGTGAGAAACACGCCATAATTGTCTCTTTGATAAACAGCACCACATCAGTATTTGCCAGTATTGTGACATTCTCCATCTATGGCTTTAAGGCAACATTCAATTATGAAAACTGCCTGAACAAGTAAGAAACCTTTTCACTAATTTTTCACCCTTAGGTCGTACATATGAGAAAAGAGGGAAAATGAGCCCAAATAGCAGCTTTGAAATGCAGGTCCTCACATGCCAAAATGTATGCCTGAACTGCAGCAGATACTGAAACTAATAACACTGAAGATAAAAGGAATGGCACACTCTGTCCTTCTATGACTCGATAAAAGTTCATAGAAGCGGACTGGCCAAGTTCACCAATGACACCAAACTTTTCATCCACACCTGAGGACAGGAGGGTGATCCAAGCTGACCTGCACAGGCTCAGGAAATGGGCGGATGAGAACATGATGGTGTTTAACACCAAAAAATGCAAGGTTCCCTTGGGAAGAAAAACCCACAGCATCCTTATAGGCTCGGCAGTGCTATGCTGGCTAGCACTATGGACGAAAGGGACTTCGGGGTCACGATTGAACACAAGATGAACATGAGCCATCAATGTGATGCTGCAGCTAGTAAAGTGAGCTTGCATCCATAGATGCTTCTCAAGCAAATCCCAGGATGTCATCCTCCCATTGTACTCGGCCTTGATGAGGCCGCAGCTGGAGTACTGCATCCAGTTTTGGGTTCCACAATTTAAAAAGGATGTGGAGAAGCTTGAGAGAGTCCAGAGAAGAGCCACGCACATGATCAGAGGTTAGGAAAACAGACCTTATGATGAGAGGCTGAGAGCCATGGGACTCTTCAGCCTGGAAAAGCGCAGGCTCAGAGGTGATCTGGTGGCTGCGTATAAGTTTATAAGGGGTGTTCACCAGGATCTGGGCGAACGTCTGTTCACCAGAGCACCTCAAGGGATGACAAGGCCAAACAGTCACAAACTCCTCCATGACCGTTTCAGGCTGGACATAAGGAAGAACTTCTTTACTGTCCGAGCCCCCAAGGCCTAGAATAGACTGCCGCTGGAGGTGGTTCAAGCACCTACTTTGAACGCCTTCAAGAGACATTGGAATGTTTATCCTGCTGGGATCCTATGACTCCTGATGACTTCCTGCCCCAGGGGCAGGTGGCTGGATTCAAAGATCTGCCGAGGTCCCTTCCAGCCCTAATGTCTATGAAATCCAAGCCCAGGTTGGAGCTTTTCAGTCCGACAGTTTTGCAGGCTGACACATGAGTTCAGAGGCCCATCTGCATGCAATTATAAGCAAGTTCATTGACCAGGTCCCAAGGCATTGTTCCCTCAACTTGTTTCAACACTGTTCAACATCACAATGTAAGTGGCACCCACCAACATCTGTATAACCATGTTAAAGCTCTATCTGGTTTAAATTAAATCACTGTCCCCAGCATGCTTTCCAGCCCTGGGCTAGGCTGCCTGTTCCAACATGGAAGGATTGATGTGGGGTCAGGCACTGCCCCCCCGTTCCTCTCCCCCCAACAGGCAAACCCCAGCTAGGGTCTGGGCCCAGGGAGGGGGATTAAACACCCCTTCCTCTGCTCAAATTTACTGCTGGCTATTACTGTGGACTACTAATCCCAGAGGCACCCGGAAGCAGGAAGAGGAAGTGATAAGCAACCCTGCAGAGTCTTACTGCTGTGAGTCTGGACTGCAAATTCCAGAGACCTCAGAGGCAGCAGGAAGAGGAAGTGAGCACAAAGCCTATGCTGGCTACATGTCAGAGAGGTATGTTCTAGCTCCCTCCAGCTTCTGGCCTGAGCAGGCACGTGGCTTCGTTTCCTGAATCAAAAGTAAATGTGTGCCCAATTGTTTCTCAGTTTAATCTCTTCAGCTTAGACTAACCTGCAAAGACTGAATCAATTCAGCCTTGGGCCTTTTTACTGTCTGTACTTAATCTAGAAGTACACGAGTTTAGCTCAGCATTAAGGACCTCCTTAGGGTCTGTCCAATCTGCCAAATGTAACTGTGTTGTAATGAGACCCTCTGGTTTAGTTAATGTTGCAGTGAAGATGGATAACGTCTTCCTACCTCCAGTGAGCCAAGTTCTGAAGTCTAATGAATGTGGCAGAACATAGGTGGCTTCCTGCT